CTTCTTCGATATGAGGTCTCTCTGTTTCTAGCGGCCTTTGCGAGCACCTCGGAAGTGGAGCAAAACTTCTCCTTCGTGGAGATGATGTCTTCGGGACGAAAGTCTAAGACGACACGGAAGCATCTCAGGCTGAGTCGGATGGCTAATTCTCATCATGGTGCGGTGTCTGTGGTCCATGTCTTGTTTCAGGTCAATGCTTCGTGTCCGTCTCGATGGCCTGCCCCCTCACCAGTATGTGGAGCAGCGGCAGGACGCACGCGCCCATGCTGCAAGTTTCCATGTTTCTGGAGATGCTGCGGCAACGCAGCAGATATTTCTGGAGAAGTTTGGAGGTGGTCAGAACGCTTGCAAGAGTGACTTGCCCAGACGGAGAAGAGTACTGCAGGAAGCCGAGTCGCTGGCAGCCATGGAACCGGGGAAAGAAACGAAAGCTAGCTTGAAAAGAAAAAGGGCTCTTCAAATCACTGGCCTCAACTCGGCGACGGAGGTTTGTGAAGATACCCAGGCCCTAGAAGCTGTGGCTCGAGATTCCGCGATTTCACGTCAGGATGAATCCCCAGGCTTTGTGAAGCTGAAGAATGCATTGAAAAGGAATGCAACAATCCTCAAAAATCGTTTGTTGAACCAAATCAATGGGGATACAAAGAAATACGATGAGGCAGTGCGCACTGCTGCCAGCCTGGAAGCTAAATTGCTTGAAGCACTTGGTCCGTCTGGGGCCCTCCCCACAGACTGGAATCCCTCTCTCAGGGTGGCCAGCAGTCTTGTGATCCATCCGGTTGGCTGTGATATTACAGCCCTGCGGGAATGGGGATTGAGGTGTATGCCTTGGACTGGATCCTTGCCAGATTTTCAGGAGCTTGTCCAGTGGGCTCCTGAAAATTTGCTTTGGTACCTTCCTGATGCTTGGGCCGAGGTGCAATTTATCATGAACCGTGCAGAAGCTGATCAGACCAGTCTGGTTGCTTCCCGTGCACTGGGCGGCTGGGTTGTGGGTGCACAGTGGTTGGCAACTTGTCATGCTCATGGCCGACCAGTTCAGCCTTTACTCAGACTCGCAAGTGCATTGGAGGAGAAGAAAGAGCGTCTCACTTGCAATAAGATTTTGCTTGATCTCTGGATTTCTGTTTGTGCGTGTGCCCCTGCTACATGAGCCATGTGCCTTCAGCATCCACATCGACAAGAGTGCGGGGGAAGCTGTGAATCCGGTGGCGGCGGCTCTTACTCGACTGGTGTTTGCTGTCTCAGAATCCGAGAAGCCGAAGAACTGGGTTCTGCACCGCAAGTGGAAAAATGCGACCAAGACAACATTAATCATAGCAGAAGACGTGGCAACGCGCAAGAAGCACCAGATCAAGCACCGTCGGCGTGGCGAGGTCATGAGTGGATCCTCATTTGTGTCAGTGTGTACATATTGGGAGAAGTGATGTTCTAACATCACTGAACAAGGGAAGGCAAACTGAGCACATAGAATATGTGCATCAAATGATTGCCAGATGATGTGCCATAGCTGGCCCGGGGAAGTGTGAGCTTTTGGGGGCAGAACGTGAAAATCACCGCGTTGGTGTGTTCGTGGAAGACACTTATAGCACGGACAAGTCAGTTCAGGAAAATCTTTCGTCTGTGCTCAGGCCTCTTGGATTGGGCTGGGGTCTCGGCTCGCGGCGTTGTGACAGTGACAACGGAACTGGTGCGTCGCCAATTCTCCATTAGGTTGCACAGACGGCTACTACTGGCTTAATTTTCGAACTGATGAATGCTGCAGGCTTTCTCCATGTTATGAAGTAAGGCTGAGATCATCGCTGATTGCTCTTGGCGTGGGCGTGATCTTGAAGATGCTAGTCCGGTGGCCCAGTGGAATGAATTGGACATGCGTTTTTGCAGTCGCCTTACTTAGCGCAGTAATCGCCATTCGTGTGGGGAAGTTAATAGTGCGGTGGACCCTGGCGTCCAGCGCACTATTTCATTTCTGGATAGTATTTTTACTTTGCGTTGATTCTTTTTCGACGGTGCCATCTTGGATGATGATGTTTGTGGAGGACCCCAGCGTTCAACGCAAAGAGATTTATCAACCTGATTTGTAATTAGTGCGCTGGACGCCGGAGTCCGCCGCACTAATTGACGAAGGGAACATGATGGCCAATAGTGCGTTGAGTTGGGGTTTGGGCTGACTCCACCTGCGGCCTCTGGCTAGGAATGTGCACCGGTGTGCCCTCGCAAGGACCTTGGTGGCGGCAGCGTCGCAGCGTGTGCCTCAGATCCGACACGCTTGCTTTTGGTGTTTCTCTCCCAAGAAATTGTTGGCTGGCAAAATCGCAGACTTTTTGAGCTCCACTGCCCTGCAGGCGGCCTGTGCATTCTCAGTTTGCAGCAATGGTGAAGAAAAGTAAGAAGACGTCCTCTGCTAAGCCTGCCAAGCCAGCATCACCGCCAAAGCTGAAAGTAACGGAGCCGACTACGAATGATCCCTTTCGCCTCTCCGACTTTGCGCGCAAGATGCTTCGACTAGCTGAAGATCACATGAAGAAAGAGGGCATGAGCGCGGCTATGGACTCCAAATGTTTGTTGCGCTGGGGCAGCGCATTTGACGGTCTGAATGCTCCCAGCCATGTTTTCAAGGCCTTTGGCATCGCGTCCACCCAAATCTTTGGGGCAGAGATTGCTAAGGCGCCGCGTGTCCTCAGCTTTCGCAACACTCCACCCGAGCATCTCTTTGAAGATGCACGCGCCCTTGCCAGGAAGAACTCCGAGTTCTTTTGTGTGCGCCACTGGCAGAAATGTGTGTGCGAGACTACTGAAAACAAGCGCCCCCACATCTTCATCGGCGGCTTTGTGTGCAAATCCAATAGCCTGCGCCTGGGACGCATGTAGGCATGGCGAGCTCCAACCAAAAGCAGCCGAGCCTCTGACAGTTGCTGCAACTGAGGCAGAGTGCAAAGAGGTTCGAACAGGACCCTTTGACTCCCACCTCCAGCTCTATGTCAACCTTTAGTATGGCTGTGGATGCTATTCGCTTCTTCAAGCCCGACTACTTCATTCTAGAGAATGTAGAGGGATGTCGGTTCCTTGACAGCATTTCTGTGATGCATTTCTCATAGCGGCTCTTTGCTCCTTTGTGTCACAGTGCTAGGCTGACCCGAACTAGCGCGAAGAAGGGCGATGCTGACCTTGAAGGCGACAAACATTGCAAAACACCCTTGCAAAAGTATCATCAGGTTCTCAGTGCAGAATTGGGGGAATATTCTGTGGTGGACCTGAGCATCTGCTCAGCGCCCTTGCCGGAGATTCGATCTCGGGTTTGGATCCTGGGGTCCAGAAAGAAATCCTTTCCTGCGTCAGCGTGGAAGTCTGTGGTGATGAGCCTGGAAGCCAATGCCAAAGAGATGCTGCCGCATCATTTCCTCCATCTTGAAGCATGCCGGTCACCAAACCAGAGGGCGCCTAAGGCTGCTAAGGCGTCAGGACGGGCGCAGGCGGACTGGGAGGTGGGTGCTGAGTGTCACATGGCCTTCTGCAAGGCTCTCAAGCAAGCATTTGAGCAAGGGCGACTTGGAAAGGACAAGCCGACGCCCAAGCCGATCCAGGAGCGGGCAAGTGCAAAGGCCAAGTGCAGACTGACACCCAGGCAGATGGCTGCTGTAGATGTCTACGAGCAGATTCTTGAGATTGAGAAAGGCAAGTACGAGACGAAAGCCAGCGCACAGCTTGCAGACATATCCCAGACAAGCTCCCGTGGGCAGATCATCTTGCACGGGATTTGCGGGACACAGACGACAAGCATGCGGTGATTTGTCTAGAACTAATTTATTGGCCTTTGTCATGTTTTCCTGTTGTCTTCGATCGAAAGCCGAGGCTCTACAATTATGACACAGGCAGCGTGGAGCCGCCAGAGAAGCACTTGGCCTTGCTTGGCTACAGCCAGCTCGAGGGGTTGGAAATGGTGAGTGAGAAGGCTGGAAGCCCTTGGCAGTCTATTTCCAGTAGGCGCATATCTCTGCTGCAGGAGCTTTACGACATGTGTGGGAATGGCATGGCGCTGACGGCTGTGGCAAAGGTGTTGGCTCCCTTGCTGGTGAGATTGTAAATCGATCAGTTAGGTTGGGGCCGGGGCAAGGGTTCACCTGTGACAGATCCAGCGCGAGTCAGGTTGCGCAAAACCTTTCTGCAGATGTACGATCGAATTGAAGGATCATGTTAGACAGCGGCAGGACCCTTCGCCGCAGGTTTTCCTTAGGTGCAGAACGCGGGCCGCCTTGCCAGGGATCTGACTTGTCATGCGAGTCCGTGGCAAACGCAGTGCTCCTAGCGATGCCCATGGGAAGCCCAGTGTTGGGCATGATGCTGGGTCCGCTGACTCTCACCCGACCGCACCTTGGCTGATCCACCCTGTAATAGTCCACTGCAAGTCTTAGAACACGACCGGCCCCAGGTGATGTTTGTCGAAGGAGTTCACAATGCCATCGCTGAGGAGATGCAGGCACTGGCCCTCTTGGATGCTGAGCCATGGGCAGGGCAGCTTGACTTGGATCAGTTTCACTTCCCAGGACTGACTGTTGCAGCTGTCAGCCTAGGCTGGGAGCTTTGGATGCAACTGAGTTTGAGAAAAACATGAAATCGGCCGGGAAGTTCGAATGTGCGGTGACATTGGATGCCTTCCCAAAAAGATGCTTTGCCCACAACTCCTGTTTGCCATCCGTGGGTTCCATTCAGCGCATTGCTGCGCACTACTGGAAAGACACTACTGGCAATTGGATTGCCAATGACTGGCCTTTGTCGATCCCAGCGGCTTGGCAAAGCCATTCTGTCATACTATTAGCCCCTAAACCCTAAACCGTAAATCCTAAATCGTAATAGGGAAATACTCAGGTTCGAGTGGCGACTGTTGGAGGTGTTCCTCACAGAGGGCATTTTCAGATCTTGGGGCTCCCTCTTTGCAATTAAGGAGATGCCTCTTTTGATGAGCTATGATCACACCCAGGCAGGAGACGCTGCTGCATGCTTACAAGTATGTGCTGTCGGAGATGAAGAAGCAGGGTACACTGAACTCCGACTTCCTGCAACGCCTCTCTTGCGTGAGATGCAAATTCTTTCTGCTGGAGGATGACAAGGCTTTTGAGCAGAAGAAGTGGGAGCTTGATGAGGGCCAGGGTGTCATGGCCGATGAACGAACCCTCATCGGGTTTAACCTTGTGCTTGGTATTGCTCGCATCCGCGACTCCCTCTCCGGCCCTGGTGTTGAAGCGAGCCCACAGGAGGTTAGCGCATGGCTCAAGACAGCAAAGGTCAAGGACATGTCGGCCAAGGTGGTGGGTGTCTACCTACGGATTCGGACCCGCTTCCCCCCAGAGGCTGTTGTGCGCCAGCTGCAGTTCAATCTCATTTCTCAGAGCTGCTGTCGTTGCCTGATATGGATAATAAGGAGCTCATTGGGCAGCTGGATTCAGTGATTGGACCTGCAAAGCACAGCTTCGCTCATACGAGCTGTTTGGATCTGTTGGCGCAGAGAACATCGTGCACCAAGAACCCTGCCCTCGTCCGGCCCTCGTCTTTCATTCGTAGGCAAAGTTGTTATGAAGCACGCTTGGCAAGGCCGACTCCCTCCTCGTCTGGGTCTTGCATGAGTTCGTCTACAGAGCTACTGTCTTGAATCTGAAGGCTTGACCATCCGCAGTTCTAAGCATTCAATCTTAGGATGTTGTAGCCAAATCATTCATGACTGTGTGTGATTGACACGGAAGCCAGCGTCCAATCGGCAAATTACGCTTCGGGCTATAGGTTCTTGTTATTCAGTAGGACTCTATTTGTTATAGAGAGACAGAAGGAGGGAAGGGTTTAGGGCCAGGGTCTAGGGGTTATAGCCATAGCCAAATTTGAATATTTCAGACTGCGATTGACACGGAAGCCAGCGTCCAATCGGTAAATTAGGCTTCGGGCTATAGGTTCTTAAGAAATTAGG